GAGAAAACAAATCTATTTTTCAAGAAAATACTTGTTCATTTATTAAAACAATGTAATATAAACAGATTGAACCATGTTCTCTTATTATAATCAAACTGACCCCTGTACACTGTTGACCCTTTAACCAACCCTTGAACCTACCCAAACCACCAAACCTGTCCCTAACTTTACCCGTATCACACCTCAACAGCAGCAAAAGTGTTGTGCATTAACAAGTTTGTAATAATGTTATTAAATAACATATGTTAAAATCATTTGTAGATTTTCAAGAAGTGCATGATCATATTAATTAAATGTTTAATGACATTTGTATTACACGATGTAGCATTATTTTTCATGAAATAATTATCTGTTGATCATTAGGTAATGTTTAATAAGTTTATTAGTACAAATTATATAATATTTTTAGCTATGTGAATATATATTAACTAATGATCCATTAAGCGTTATATAATGTTTGTTAATGATTTATTAATGGAAGTTATTATAAAGTGTTACCATTTTTTTTTTTGAGAGAATTTTATGGTACTAATTAATATTTCCCATTGAAAATAATATAATTTATTTTTTCTCAATTAATGCAATATTTCAAGTTAAAATTGAGACTAGGCCTTTAATCTGATTTTTGAAGGTAGATTAGTGCCTTCTGGTGGGAGTAAAGAAAAGCTCTATATTCATGTACAGCTCTATATAAACGGCTAATAAATTCCCTAGTTGTTTTTAGACCAAATTATATATTTAAACCACTTAGCATTTGTTAATAATAAATTTGTGCGTGTGTGTGTGTTCACATACCAAGTGCCATAAAAGTCACCAAGCCATGATTTTGTAAAGCATCAAAACAAAATCTTTTAGTAAAAAGTGACTGATGAGCACCGGAGGGTTGTATTATGATTGTGTCTGATTTTAATATATATATTTTTTCTTTTTGTTTTATTTGTCAGAAGGTGATCTAAGGATTATTCTCCTGGGTAAAACTGGAGCAGGAAAAACTGCAACAGGAAACACAATCCTGGGCAGAAATGCATTTAAAGAGACCAGTGAAATATGTGAGAAACAGGAAGGATACGTGGATGGGAAGAACATTGTTGTATTTGACACTCCAGGACTATTCAATGCATCTATCACAAAAGAGCAAGTAAAGGCTGAAATAGAGAGGTGTGTAGAGATGTCTGCTCCTGGTCCTCATGTGTTCCTGCTGGTGATCAAACTGGGGGTTAGATTCACAGAAGAAGAGAGGAACTCAGTGCAATGGATTCAGGAGAACTTTGGAAAAGAGGCTTTGCTTCGTACCATCATTCTGTTTACTCACACTGATCTGCTGAAGGGTACATCTTTAGAGGAGTACGTCAGGAAAAGCCACTATTTACCAAAACTAGTTGATAGTTGTGGTGGCAGATATCACTCATTCAACAATGAAGATAGAAACAATCAACAAGAAGTTACAAAACTGCTTCAAAAGATCAATGCAATAATGAGGGAACATGGAATGAAGCATTACACACCAGATATGTTTAAAACAACTAAAACAGAAATAACAGGGAAGAACAAAATGAACCTGACAAAGTTTACATATATTTTCTGTGCTATTATACTGATTGGAGGTATATTACTGGGGACATGGCATTTGAAAAGGGAGCTCAAACTGAAGGAGCAGCAGCTGCAAAATCAAACGCAGAAGATACAGCAACTGACAAATGAGCTCCAACAGAAGGAGAAGCAGCTGCAAAATCAAACGCAGAAGATACAGCAACTGACAAATGAGCTTCAACAGAAGGAGCAGCAGCTGGAAAATCAAACGCAGAAGATAGAGCAACTGACAAATGAGCTTCAACAGAAGGAGAAGCAGCTGGAAAATCAAACGCAGAAGATAGAGCAACTGACAAATGAGCTTCAACAGAAGGAGAAGCAGCTGGAAAATCAAACGCAGAAGATAGAGCAACTGACAAATGAGCTTCAACAGAAGGAGAAGCAGCTGGAAAATCAAACGCAGAAGATAGAGCAACTGACAAATGAGCTTCAACAGAAGGAGAAGCAGCTGGAAAATCAAACGCAGAAGATAGAGCAACTGACAAATGAGCTTCAACAGAAGGAGAAGCAGCTGGAAAATCAAACGCAGAAGATAGAGCAACTGACAAATGAGCTTCAACAGAAGGAGAAGCAGCTGGAAAATCAAACGCAGAAGATAGAGCAACTGACAAATGAGCTTCAACAGAAGGAGAAGCAGCTGGAAAATCAAACGCAGAAGATAGAGCAACTGACAAATGAGCTTCAACAGAAGGAGAAGCAGCTGGAAAATCAAACGCAGAAGATAGAGCAACTGACAAATGAGCTTCAACAGAAGGAGAAGCAGCTGGAAAATCAAACGCAGAAGATAGAGCAACTGACAAATGAGCTTCAACAGAAGGAGAAGCAGCTGGAAAATCAAACGCAGAAGATAGAGCAACTGACAAATGAGCTTCAACAGAAGGAGAAGCAGCTGGAAAATCAAACGCAGAAGATAGAGCAACTGACAAATGAGCTTCAACAGAAGGAGAAGCAGCTGGAAAATCAAACGCAGAAGATAGAGCAACTGACAAATGAGCTTCAACAGAAGGAGAAGCAGCTGGAAAATCAAACGCAGAAGATAGAGCAACTGACAAATGAGCTTCAACAGAAGGAGAAGCAGCTGGAAAATCAAACGCAGAAGATAGAGCAACTGACAAATGAGCTTCAACAGAAGGAGAAGCAGCTGGAAAATCAAACGCAGAAGATAGAGCAACTGACAAATGAGCTTCAACAGAAGGAGAAGCAGCTGGAAAATCAAACGCAGAAGATAGAGCAACTGACAAATGAGCTTCAACAGAAGGAGAAGCAGCTGGAAAATCAAACGCAGAAGATAGAGCAACTGACAAATGAGCTTCAACAGAAGGAGAAGCAGCTGGAAAATCAAACGCAGAAGATAGAGCAACTGACAAATGAGCTTCAACAGAAGGAGAAGCAGCTGGAAAATCAAACGCAGAAGATAGAGCAACTGACAAATGAGCTTCAACAGAAGGAGAAGCAGCTGGAAAATCAAACGCAGAAGATAGAGCAACTGACAAATGAGCTTCAACAGAAGGAGAAGCAGCTGGAAAATCAAACGCAGAAGATAGAGCAACTGACAAATGAGCTTCAACAGAAGGAGAAGCAGCTGGAAAATCAAACGCAGAAGATAGAGCAACTGACAAATGAGCTTCAACAGAAGGAGAAGCATGGATGGGAAGAACATTGTTGTATTTGACACTCCAGGACTATTCAATGCATCTATCACAAAAGAGCAAGTAAAGGCTGAAATAGAGAGGTGTGTAGAGATGTCTGCTCCTGGTCCTCATGTGTTCCTGCTGGTGATCAAACTGGGGGTTAGATTCACAGAAGAAGAGAGGAACTCAGTGCAATGGATTCAGGAGAACTTTGGAAAAGAGGCTTTGCTTCGTACCATCATTCTGTTTACTCACACTGATCTGCTGAAGGGTACATCTTTAGAGGAGTACATCAGGAAAAGCCACTATTTACCAAAACTAGTTGATAGTTGTGGTGGCAGATACCACTCATTCAACAATGAAGAGAGAAACAATCAATATCAGATCACAGAACTGCTGCTGAAGATCAATGCATTGAGAAGAGCAAATGGAATGAGGCATTACACTCCTGAGATGTTCAGAACAATCCAGACAGAGATTACAGGGAAAAGCGGAATGAAGTTGAACATTACACATATTTTGAGCGTTATCATAGTGATAGTACTTATTTTTCTAGGAGCACAGCAATGGAACAATATGTTTCAAAAGGAGGAAGAGAAACTGAAAAATGACATCGAACAGATGGAAAATGAGGTGCAGCAACTGAAAAATGAGCTCCGAGAGAATGAACAGAGGGAGCAGCATCTAAAACTAGATCTCCTACAGAAAGATCAAGAGGAGCAGACACTGAAAGGGAAGCTCTCACAAAAGGTAGATGATGAGAAGAACCTGAGAAACAAGATAGAAGAGAAGGAAAAAGAGGAGAAGCAGCTGAGAAATGAGCTCTCACAAAAGGTAGAGGATGAGAAGGACCTGAGAAACAAGATAGAAGAGAAGGAAAAAGAGGAGAAGCAGCTGAGAAATGAGCACCTACTGAATGAAAGGGAAAAGCAACTGAAAAATGAACTACAGACAGAAGAGAAGCAGCTAGAGCTAGAAAATGAGCTCCAACAGAAAGAAGAGGAGAAGCATCCCCTAAAAAAGCAGCTAATACAGAAGGAACAAGAGGAGTTGGAGCTAAAAAATGAACTGCTACAGAAGGAACAGGAGAAGCATCAGATAAAAAAGAAGCTTCTAGATAAGGAACAAGAGGAGTTGGAGCTAAAAAAGGAGCTGCTGCAGAAGAAACTGGAGAACAGGAGGAACAGCTAAAGCATGAGTTGCAATAGTAACAGGAGGAACAGCAGCAGCAACAGAGAGATCTACAGATGAAGCAGCAATAATATCAGCTGCGGGACATGTAGCCATATTCACTATGTTTACTCTGATTATTGGAAATAATCACATTATTGGTGCACATGTAAAGACTTAAATGCATTAAGATGTTTACATGACACGAGTAAACCTCTTCACTCCCGTTTACATGCAATTTTCATTATTCTTATTATTTGCTAATAGGTGTGGTTATTTTTTCACCATAAATCACATACCCACAGCACAAATGATGAACTCACATACAGCAGGCGAGTTACTGCCCACTGTCCACTTACATCAAATGCAATACATGTCTATAGACATAATGGTTATTAGGCACTGCAGTGAATTTCACAATATCATAATTTCACATCGTTCCATTATAATTATGTATCTCTCTATACCTCACAATGAATCTATTATTTACTTTGTGTATACGTTTCGTATAATGAGAGGATTCGTAAGCTTGCATAACTCAGCACTCAACAAAAACTCCAGCATTTTGAGCAACGAGTGGATTGTAGCTGAATTGTCTCTGATTGGCTGTTGCGTTCAAGAAATGAACATATTTGTCTGATTGACTCCGTCGGTAACGCTGCAAAACATGTTGTAAATATAACCCTTTGAAGCTCTTTGTGTGCAAACTCACTGGATCTTTTGCCAGATCTGTTTCGCCAATATCATATCTTTACAGCTTCAACTGAGAGTGCTCTTGCTTTCGCTTGACTACCGCAGAACTGTGCCTGCTTGTGAATAATGTCATGGAGTTCATTCACACCGTTGTATGAACAACAAACTTTATCGTTGTATGTCCGAACACATGAACACTTTGGTCAAAGTGGTAATAATGTGATTAAGGGGTTTACAATGCCTGTTTATTGCGATTAAAATTGGCATAAGCCACATAGTTTTAATGCAATTAAGGTTGCTACGATTATGAGCTTAATCACATTATTTTGATCAAAGAATTGCACTTTTACAGCTATTATTCACCTACCCCAATGCACAGCACAAATGATGGACTCACATACAGTAGGCGTGGTACTGGCCACTGTTTTAATCTACTTGCATCAAATGCAAAACCCATTTTATGGACGTACTGGATGGTTATTCGATGCTGTGATGAACATCAAATTGTGATGGCAATGCCACTGGGTTTGCCTACACTGCCATCGCATTCTTCATGCCGTCTCTGGATGAAGATACAGAGCAGAGACTGGTGGCAGTGAGTTGTGTTGACAGAGTTCAGCAATTCGGAGTGGAGGGGAAACTTCCAAATGTCACAGAGTTCATTTAGGCGCACTTTGGTCAGAGCGGAAATAATGCGATTAAGATATTTTCATCGGTTTATTGTGATGAAAATCTGCTGTCGCCACATACTTTAATATGATTATGGTTACTATGATTAAGAGCTTAATTGCATCGGTTTGATTGAAGTATTGTGTTTACATGAAGTAAAGTTTAATAGCAATACTGCCAAAATTTCATTATAATCGCATTATGAGGGTGCATGTAAATGTAGTCATTGATTAGATTAGCAGTAGTAACTGCATTAGCAGCAGCAGGAGGAACAGCGGCAACATTAATATCAGAACTGAAAAGACTTAAGATTTTTGCATTGTATTTAAATATTTCCTACATACAATTTCATAGACCAATTGCTTTATATGCATTATGAAATGATGCTTCTCTGTATACACTGAATATATTGTGGTTTAGGTATGTCATGTTTCTGTAATTATTAGAGTTTTAAACTGTCTTGAATTTTCACGGTGGATATTAAAATGTATATCATTATTATTAATGATAGGTTATATAAAAAAATAAAACACAAAGTACCATATTGTGAAGCAGAATGTTTTCTAAAACTTTCTTTCCTTTTTATGCACATTAAACACAATACAAGAGAATTTTTTTTTTAATTAAGTCTGGCCTACGGGTAAAAGAGCAATCACCTTGCAGATAAACTGATTTCCTCAACTGACTTAAAATGTGGATAAGCATTAGCTGGACTAGTGTGACCCCCCCCACCAATATCAAATCAAATATGTTTATTGGCACACTTTATTTACACAATATACACAAGTATATAGGAAAACGCAGAGTGAGTTGAGTTTACGTACAGTGTGTTTAAAGTGAGCACATGACAGTAATGGGTCCAAATTAAATATGCAAATAGATTTCAGCATGTGGCGCATCCTTGGGAGTAATAACTTTGGATTTAAAATAAACTGCTTTCAAAATATAGCTTTCCAAAAAAAAAAAGTGGTCTCTTGGCTCAACTTGCCCCCAGTGAGGGGTAAGTTGAGCCTAGGAAGAGGGTAAGTTGAACCGCATGGAGTTAAACTGTGTCATTGATTATGCTGAAGTAAAACATGAAAATGAACATTTTCACCTCATGCTATATCAAAGGAAGATTAAAAAAATGCCTTCAAACCCAGTGTCTAGGCAGGAAAACTCCCTCAGTCCATCACAAGGCTCACACATAGATTTTAAGGCATTTTTAAAATTATTTTAAAATTTCAGAACAAAAAAAAGTTCAATTTTAAGAATTAAAAAAACATACTGCAATTGACCTTACAGAACTGGGCTAATAGTACTCAACGTCCCACTTATAAATGTTGCAGGGAAATACAATTTCATAAAAACTTCAATGGCCAATTTTCATAAACAAGGCCTATTAATTTCAGAACAAAATCAAGTTCAGAACAAAGATCAAAATAAAAAATGTTTGGAAAATTAATGAAATATAATGTAGAATTACAGTAAAATAATACTTTAAGAAGGGGTGAGCCGCTGGCTCAACTTACCCCAGGGCTTTTGACTCAAATTACCTCACTCCTACCATTTTAACAAATGTGTATCATCCAGCAGTTTAGAGCTAACATCATGCTAACATTATAGCCTTATATTATAACTTCCTACAGCACAAACACGTGTGATATTTTTTCAGATTTGTCTGTAATTGTGCAGACACAAGACGCAGTCCTTGAAAATACAAAAATCACTTTGAATTTAAATGTAGTTACCAATTATCCCATGGGCCTCTCTCCATCACAGGGTTAATACAATGGTTAACTCTTCAAATATGTGGTCATACATCAATTTTGTTTAAGGTTGTCTAGAAACAATGGGTGGCTCAACTTCCCCACAGGCTCAAATCACCCTGCTCTCCCCTACTATGTACACAGAATATACACAAGCAATACACAGAATACACAGAAAATACACATCATATTAGAAAAATCATAGTGATCACATTGAAGTATAATATTGGTCTGTTATTGAGAGCAGTTGATGTGATGTGATGTTTAGCGGAAATAGTTTTTCGAGTGCAGAAGAGAGATTATGTAGCCTGATGTAGTTATTGGTTAGAGTTCAGCAGTCTGATGGCCTGCGAGAAGAAGCTATCTCACAGTCTGCTGGTGCGGGTCCTGATACTGTGGTACTGTTTGGCTGATGATAGCAGTGAGAACAGTTTATGGCTCAGGTGGCAGGAGTCTCTGATGATCTTCCAAGCTTTCCTCACACATCGCTGGGTGTAGATGTACTGGAGGGAGGGAAGCTCACCTCCAACGATGTGCTGGGCTGTTCGAACCACTTTCATTTGTTCAATGCCAGTGATTTATAGAGAGAACCTTAAGATTCAAATCTCAATTAAATGATCATTTGCAAACATGTGATTCAATACGAGATTAGAAGTGAGGAAAGATTGAGGTTATCATAGATTAGGTCAATTGTTCTTTTTTTTCCCCCCAGGAGAATCCTATTTTAACATTTCAAATCCTTAATGATATATTTTTTTACAATCTTATTCTTACTATTGCAGGTGAGAAGAATGAGGAGTGTTATAGTAAAAATCTGCCTGTGTTGTATCTTACTATGCAAAATGGTTGCAAAGTAATCTGTATGCAAAAAAGTCACTGTAAGCCATAATTGCACATGCATTGTGCATTTCTCTTAATTGAAAAAATAATAATAACAATTTAAGTGCACATTTCATGAAGAACAAAGGAAGGTCCAGTAGAGGAGCAAATCTGACTGCACAGACTTCATTCCATGTGTAACCTTTGGCTAAAAGTATTAAAGAAAAACCCACCTATGCCACCTAGGTTATTTCTCCATCCAGGAAAAAAAAAATACCCCAAGAAGAATTAAACCAAAAGGAGTTACAATAATATGAAGGACCCTGCTGGTTCAGATTGGATTAAAGACACAGACGTGACTTACCAAAAATAACAAATTAATTTCACACATAAAAAAAAATAAATAAAGATTTTTACAGCTTCAACTGAGAGTGCTCTCGCTTTCGCTCGACTCCTATAGAACAGTGCCTGCTTGGGAATAATGTCAAGGAGTTCATTCACACCGTTGTATGAACAACAAACTTTATCTATGTATGTCCGAACACATGCACACTTTGGTCAAAGTGGTAATAATGTGATTAAGGTGTTTACAATTCTTGTTTATTGCAATTAAAATTGGCATAAGCCACAAAAAATATTATCCTGACATGAAACGCACTCATTAGTATATAACAAAAACAAAACTAACACAGCCCTGCGGGACCCCCATATTACTGGTTTTCACCTCAGAATAAAAATTTAGTTTTTACCCTAAGTGGTTGTGTATGATTTGTTAAAAACAAATAAAACCATTTGATACAAAAGGGGTTCACTTTCAATTCTATCAGATTCCTAATTAGTATCTTGGGTTGGAGTGTATTAAATGCCGAACTAAAATCTATAAAAAAAGTAAACATATTTTTTTTTATTATCTGTGTTTTTTGTTCTGTCACTCATTCTGTTACACTGTGGAAGCTTCTGTCACGAAAACAAATTCCTCATATGTGTAAACATACCTGGCAAAAAAGCTCATTCTGATTCTGAAATTCACACACAAAAAAAAAACTATACACAAGCATTTGCTTTGGTGTTGCCACCCCTTATAGACCTCAT